CTGCAATACTCTCATGTATTTGTCAACAGAGTTGTTGCGTTTTTTCTTTCTGTGTGCTAACAATTTTGGCGGTGTTTCCGTATTGTAGCATTTCTGCAAACAATTTCTGTTACCAAGGTCTGCGCCGAAATTGTCAAAAACAGAAATTGTTTGCTGGGTAGTTAATGTCTTATATACTCGCCGCCATATTGATATGTTCGCAGACGTAAAAATAACCCTCGTACCTTTTGCTTCTCAGCTTACACTTAGTAGAAATGCCAGAGATCGTGCAAAACAGCAGCGAGAGCCGTGTCCGTGTGCGTGACGTCACGCTCGGCTGTTGGCTCGTGGAAGAGTGCAGACATAAGTATGTTCTGTCTTCTTTCCACCAAGCCGGCAACGCACGTAAAGCCGTTCTACATTGATCGCAAGAGACGAATCGCACGATCGCATTATCGCAAGACGTAAGAATCATGCGATTTGAGTATCTACATTAGTCGAAAGTTACAACCAATCAGCAAAGAGTAGAGAAACACACGAGTGAAGAGCTGCTTATTGGCTGTCGCAAGATCGCAGAGACGCAAACTTTGAATTTTGGCAAACTTTGCGATTTCTGCTTGCGACGACCTTACGACGATCGCAATATCGCTTGCGATCGTGCGATTCATTTCTTGCGATCAATGTAGAACAGGCTTAACGCGCTTGTTACGTATGATAACGCTTTTCGATGTTAGGCTGCGTTCCGATATTTACTGCCAGTACTGGAAATCTATAGCACATGTGACGTGAAGTATACATTTTTAGTACTAGCAGTGATTATTGGAACGCTGCTTGAGAATCTTGTAAAAAGACATGAGATATTATTCATACTAATAATATATACTTCTTCTTTTTATCTATTATGGCTTCTACCTCTGCGCGAGAGAAGCATACGCCAGACTTCGTTTGTTAGAGTATATTAAGTAAGGGGGGATGTGCACTACCACGCGATACACGGCCTTTTTTTACAGTGGGCGTGCTCATCTGTGTCGGGGTCGTGTTTAAGATGTTGTGACTAAGATGTCCTTGTGGGAGGGAATTAAATTCGGAATTACACCCAAATTAATTTTTGGAGGCCCGATTTAGTTCGCCGATCAACCGATAAACTCGGTTGAAGGGGACCGGTCCGGAAAAAATCCTTAGGTGGTGAACGGATTCGAACTCGAAACCTCCAGGTTCACAGCCCCTGCACTCAGGCCGCGAGACTACTGGGCCGGTCTAATAATATATACCTTGTCAAAGAGTAAAGCTGATAATCGTGCACGCCTATAGAGTTCGATCATTGGTCCCCGCGCGCTCATTAGCTCACATTTATTAATTCATATCCCAATAACTATTGCGAATTTTGCAAACTGTAAATAACTTTTCTGCTCAAATTGATCCAATTTACTTACACACGTCGGTTTAATAATTTGTTGTCAGACACCCTGTGTAATACGTAATTAAACTTATCGTATATACACAAAAAAAATTACAAATACTACTTAAAACTTAAACAATTTATAATATTTATTACATAAATCAATTACTAAATAGGATTATGCATTTAAGATGTGATGTTTATCCTATCATATTAAAAAAATGAAACTATACAGGGTAGTGAGTCGCGCGCCTGGTGTGTGTGAGTGCTCACTGACGTGTGCCTGGCTAAAGGTCTGCGCTGATTGGCCTGATTTACTCAATAATTACTCCTTTATTATAAATAATAGAAAAAAATGGTTCAGGACTTTTCGACTCAGGTTTACTCCTTCTACCTGCCTACGAGAGATTGTACGGCAATTCTGGGACACCCTGTATATAACTATGTGAGCTAATATACAGGGTGTCCCAAAATTGGTTTAACATATCTTGTAGACAGGTAGAAGGAATAAAACTGAGGTGAAAAGTCCTATACCATTTTGCTAGATTCACAATAGTTACCGAGATTTTAATTAACAAAGATCCGCGAATAAGCGTGCATCNGGCTGTCTTACGCGCGTAGGACAGCCCGGCGCGCTTCACACAATTACATTTTAATACGTATATGTCATAGTATATGCTGTTATATTATCTCCTCCCATATGTTGCTATGGGTAACACCGTTAGCGTGCGAAGCGCGGCGGGCATAGTTGCAAACTCGAGCCGGCTAGCACCGAGAGCACCGAGGTGTTGGGAGCCACTGGGAACACGCACACAAGCGAGAACCGCCGTCCGTGTGTGTGTTCCACGCACACTAGCCGGCTCGAGTTTGCAACTGTGGCGGCGGGCAGTCTTACGCGCGTAAGACAGCCCGATGCATGCTTATTCGCGGATCTTTGTTAATTAAAATCTCAGTAACTATTGCAAATCTAGCAAAATGGTATAGGACTTTTCACCTCAGTTTTATTCCTTCTACCTGCCTACGAGAGATGTTAAACCAATTCTGGGACACCCTGTATATATATATATATAATATTTTATGTAGTATTTATTATTAGTTCACATTTATATATTACTATTTTCTACATATATGTAAATAACGGAAAGAAAATTCCATTTTATAGATGCATAATCTTAAAATCTTTAATTTATATAAATGTTATATATGTCTTTTAAGTAGCATTTGTGTAAATCTTTATGTAGCAAAAAGTTTAATAATATATTGTACTATAGTTAAATTTTGTATTGCTTTTATCATAAGTAATAATATAGTTCTGTATATCACTCTTTTACAAACTATGCAACATATATTTTCATATTGGATTATTATGTCGATTGGCAGCAAAGTGAGAACTCTGATGTACTTACTTTCGACGCGCGATCTTTGCTCTCCGCTCTCACACGTTACGTTGACAGCGCGATTTGTCGAATTAGCTGACAACAAAGCGTTATTTACTGAAATGGTGTCTTATCAGTTATCTCATGCAATTTTCGATAGCTCTTGACACAGTCGTTATATATACCTAAACTTTATGAAATAAACACTTTCTTACCGAGTTTTTTCATGTTACAATGTTATATATTTTTGCAATAATTATACATATATAGAGTGTCCTATTTAAATGACACAGCAAAAAATCTTGTAAACAACTGATTTTAGAAAAATAAGCTGACACATGTCTTTTAGTATTGTATTTTGAGTGAGGATTTACACGGCACTATTAGTTTTTTAATGCAGACGTTTTCAAGGTCATTTTAAGGTTATCTTTTTTTTATATATTGTAAACCCACACTTTTTATTTCAAAATCTTAATTTACAGAAGACAACGCACAACTTTTGTCTGAAACATTTTTTTGTAGGACTTCTGTTTTTTAATATAGTAAGAAAAAATATTTACAGTATAAATTGTCTAACTATACGATAAAATGTATGTAATGGATATCTTCTTTCGGGATACTACAAAGCATACAAATTAACAGTTTTTGCAATGTTTTGTCTTAATTCACCATAAAAAAATTATTTCAATTTTTTGGAATATTTAACAGTTGCAGAAAAAATTGAAATAATTTTTTTAATGGTGAATTAAGACAAAACATTGAAAAAGCTGTTAATTTGTATGCTTTGTAGTATCCCGAATGAAGATATCCATCACGTCGTACATTTTATCGTATAGTTAGACAATTTATACTGTGAATGTTTCTTTTGATATCTTGAAAAACAGAAGTTTTACAACAAATGTTTCAAACAAAAGTTATGCGTTGTTTTATGTAGATTCTAATAAAAAATTAAGATTCTAATAAAAAATAGGTAGATTTATGATATAAAAAAAGTTGACCTTGAAATGACCTTGAAAACGTCCACGCAAAAAACTAATAATGCTATTTGAATTCTCACTCAAAATACTGAAAGACTTGTCAGCTTATTTTTTTTTAAATCAAGTTGCGAGATTTTGTGCTGTGTCAATTTAAATAGAACACTCTGTATATTTATTCTGTTAATATTCTAAAATCTTTTTATTACTGTTAAATATCGTATTAATAATTTTACAAATATGTAATATGTATATATTTTATTATTTATGAATAATATCATGTCTTTTTACAAGATTCTAAAGCTGCTTTGGAAGCTAAGGCTTGGTGGAAAGGAGACAAAACATACTATGTTTCCGCTTTTCCACGAACCGACAGCCGAGCGTGACGTCACGCACATGGACGCGGCTCTCGCTTGTATGCATACGAGAGCATCGAGGCGGTGAGCCCTCAACATACACAGTTTGTCCGGAAAGTTCCCGGACT